CAGGCCTATCGCCATCACCTCCTTGTTCTCCAAAATAATGGAATCCATTATAAAGTTTTCGTCGGGGTTGATCAGCTGGTGATCTTCTGGTCTACCTAACTGATAGATGGGCGGGGTCAGTAGAGTCCAAGGGGAAGGCATTGGCTGTTAGTTTGTTCATAGCGAAGGCCTTCGATCTGGTCTGGTACAAAGCGCTTCTTTCGAAGCTCCCTTTCTATGGGCTTCCCGAGAAATTGTGCAATTGAATGACCAGTTTCCTTGTTGATAGGAGCATCAAGGTCGTAGTAGACGGTGCATGCTCTAATTACAAGCCTATTAACGCTGGTGTTCCGCAAGGCTGCGTGCTATGACCAACGCTGTTTCTACTGCATATCAATGATATGTTGCAAACTGGTAACAACGACAGCACTGGTAATGCAATATACACCGGCCGTGACAATATTTCTCGGAAAAACATCTCCGAATACCGGAATAAACTTGTATCTGAAGTCGAGTCTTTGCTGAACAAAGTCTCGGATTGAAGGCGGCTAAATCTAGTCCAGTTCGATCCCCAGAAGACACAAGTTTGCACGTTTACTGCTTAAAAGAACCCCTTTGTCGTATCTGCTCAGTTTCAAAGCACTTCCCTTGCTAGCTCAGCTAGCATCGAAACCCTCGGCGTCGACATATCGAATAGTGTGCAGTTTTGTGGTCACTTGGAAGGGAAGGCCAAATTGGCCTCTAAAAAGCTTGACGTGCTCAGCAGAGCGGGGCTCAAAATTATTATTAGCCGACCGAAAAATTAAATTATGTAAAATAGCAGAGGAGCGAGCTATACAGGTCAGCAAAGAACGTGTTGGAGAAATTTTACACGAAAAGGAGACTGACACGCTTTCATACATTCTTGGGCCCAGATTGCAAAAAGATGAAAGTGAAGCCAATTAATAGCTTATATATTATCAAAAAATCACTAATCAATTTTGGGGACTTTGGCAATCTGAGAGCAGAATTATTAAGAGATTTAGTAAAAGTGAGGTTATACAACAAGTTGGCAAAAACCAATACTAAACAGCTGATTTTTGGAAGTGCGATTGCTATTTTGGAAAGATCGTGGGCCTAGTGTATTACAGCGACTAATCGCTATCCATTGAATCAATATCTAGTAGATAAAATCCAGGCCGTAAAATCCACAATAACGAGTCAAAGTCAAACGCGTAAACAAGATTATTGGTGTTCGGTATGTTAGCAAGGGTCATACAAGTAAGATCAGAAGTCCATAGAAAGAAAGTGGTCAAGCAATATAAATCAATAAAACAACGGGAAACACTTAAAAACACACATGTACTAAACGATACGCAACAACTGATCATAGATTAGATTGAGTTGAGTCAGGGAGGAGCTGTCACTATCAGCACAGATTAAAAATACAGTTGACAAACACAAGTAATAAATCGAACTGTAAACGTGAATCGATTTTAAGATTTATTTTTATTATGTTGATATTTATTTTTTAAACTGTTAAAACACTATGTTAATATATTGTAATATATCTATTTCATTTCATTGAATCAATTATCTGATGTAAGTTATTTTTATGATTAATTGTTAAAACTAATTCACATTAATCGATTACAGTAATCGAATTCCTATTTTATTCGTGACATAAACTTATTTTCAAGATTTCTCATCTTTCAGATTGTGAATTGGGTTAATTTTTTAATATTTTGAAATAGAAAAATATAACACTTTTTTAAACCATATTTCAACTTATTACAATTGGGCCCAGAAATCCCAGTCTCCTTTGTGCCATTGGGTACCATAAACTTTCATTCCACTCTACACACAAAAGGAGAATCAAAAGCAAAGAGTTACAATAGTGTGCAAACAATTTTGATGAAATATGTAACCAGATAGTAAACTTAGAAGAAACTTGGATTCGCCAATATGATCCCAATCCAAATAAAAATGATGTGTGAAAAGAGACAGGCCACCGAAGAAATTCGTGGAAATATTGGCGTCTAAGATCGTTCCAACGACTTTAGACGAATTTCCAGGGATAGCTGATATTATGCTAATTTAATGGGTTAGACACGTGAGGCAGTCGTACAGAAGAGAAGAGGCAAATTGGTACGGGGTGTGATGTATCTACAATAAAACACACCAGTTTCACACGTTTACACATGACACAGGAAGTGTAGTGTAAATTGACCCCACACAGTAGAGTCCGAAAATCACAAGTAGAAAGAATACTAGATGTAAGACAATGATTATAATCTTTTCTTTTTCCCTAGTTTGGCAACTATTTCCAGATTCTCCCAGAATCATTCATTTTTATGTGGTAGAGCCAAACCATCCTTTCTTAATCTTTGTCACAACATCGTCTTGCAAACCACACTTCTCTTATCACACTATTTCTCACCCTGAACATAAAGTAAAACCATCTACGAAAACTTCGTAGCAAAGTTTAGTCTGATACATTGTGTGAGCTTCATGAACTTTTTTTTTATAGGATAGGGTGTCATCATCAATCAAACTACTGGTCAGATCTTGGTAAAATATATATGGGACCACATGAAAAGCACCAGCTTTCAAATAAAAAAAGAATCATCTAAATAGGTTTACATAGAAAAAAGTTCCAAGGTAACACAAAAAAAATGCATTCGAATTGAGTACCTACTTTTCTTGAAGTCGGCTAAAAATAATTTTACAATCTGAAGTTGGTGCAAGGACACAGTATATAGAAGAATTAAGGCCCAAATTTAGAATTTCTTTAATTCTTATTAGTTCTTTGGCTTATCCTTTTCATAAAATATATTTTTTTTTAAGTCAGTCCCCATTGTATCTTATAACTAAATATCACAAAAAGTTTTATTATATAACTTTTACTAACTTTACTGTTAAAGCATATTAAAGTCCACTGCTGAACATAGGCCTATCCCCTAGAATGCCTCATAAGGGGATATTTGCCATAGTTGTCATGCTTGGCAAGCGAGTTGGCAACCACAGTTGCGTTTAATCATTATATTAAAATTATTATTATAACTGTCCATCACCTGATTTATTTCCCTCTGTCATCACTTATGGCACCCATGGGATGATACGGTGTAGTGGATATTCTTACACTGCTACTACACGGAACTAACATTACACATATGAAATTATGTAATTTAATCAGCCTGCACACCTCCACTGCTGAACTTCCTCTGCCAATGTGGAGAAGATTCGCACTAATCTTCACATTTGGCAGGCAAATTGATGCAGTACCAGACATTTAACCCTTTGACTCTGCTGAATGTCGTCTGTCTGGGTTTTTGATTTAATGTCTTGATAATCATAAAAGAGATTGCCAACTATTGGTAACCATAGTCTAGTATTACCACACCCATAGGACTAACAGGAGTTATGAATTCTCTTAATAAAACAAAAAGAAAGTCTTATAAAAAATTACAAATGTATATTTGTAATAATTTATATATTTCAAAATTGGGAACCTATGTCAAAAGGATAAACTCTCAAACATTTTAAACTTAGATAAACATTTATAGCATAGAACTTAGACAAAATTAAATTATATATATGAACATGGTAGGTAGGATAACTTATACCAACTTTTTTCTTAAAGAAATTTTAACCCCATCAGGATTTTCTTCCTGTATATTAGCAGTTTACATATTACATAACCTGCACAAGGCCAAGGGCGGGGATATTGAAAATATCTGTAGTATATATATTATTAATATCTGTAGTATATACAGTTTATCTATACATTATAGTCCATTAGGAAATTATACATATAGAACATTATAGTCCATAGCTGAACATAGGCCACCATTTGCCATAGTTGCCATGCTTGGCAGGGGGTAGGCAACGAGTTTTTATTATTTACAATTGTTATCAGAACCATCTCTGACCCCTCTTACAACACCTACTGGTTGATATGGGTTGGAGTTCTATTATGTTGTCACTTCACAGCAGTGTGAGAGTAACTGTACTCAAATATTCAATTCAAAAAAATATATTGAAGGAAAACATCTTTAGGGAACCATAATTACTCAAACAATAAACTAATCAAGTTCACAAACATGGGCTTATTATGCACCCAACTCTAATAATGTTCTCCAAATCGAATTTTGGTCATAGCAGCCAGTCTCAATAGAGACTAGCCATCTGCACAAGACAGGATTACAGTGCCCAAATGTATCACAAGCACAAGTGCACTCTTTATTCCTTTACCCTCATAGTCCAATGGGACAGTTATCTGATATATCAGGTATAGATAGGATCAGGCGCAGCACCAATGGCTTTACATGCTCTCCGAGGCACAGGGGTGAAACACTGTCAACTTCCTGACTCAGGGCTGCTTCTGAGAATTCCTTGACAAACAAAACCAATAACTGATTTTTGACAGACCCAGGATTCGAACCCAGAACCTCATGAACAGCAATCAAGCTTACAACCACAAGACTGATGAGACAGACCCCATTCTATTGTACTCACAATATTAAGGAATACTGAGCCCAGTAGTTGGATGTTCTTTTCCATAGCTATATAAATTCTTATGAACACATACATAAGTTTTTACCAGGTGGTAAGATTATTGTTCTACCTAGAAATTCATCTGGGTAAGTTACCACCCTCTAAGCTACTTCTGCCACCAAATAACAGGATGTGCACTGCCACATTCCAATCTAAAGGATATAGAGAGCCAGGATAATTAGTCTTGATAGGTGACAACACATCTGTTGATTCCAGGTATCCATGGAATGCATCAGCCCGTTTATCATGAGGTGGACTATAAGTCAAAGGATAAACATCCAAATCCAGTAAAATTATTTAAAGACCTTACAATCAGATGTTCCTTGCAGGATTCGAACCAGTAGCCCATAGCATTGGGAGCCAATGTTTAGCCACTAAATTACACGCCGTTGGAATGATATTTACTTTTTAAATGTACACTGCACAACATAGATTCTCTCAAAAAGAAACAAACTTAAAACAAACAAGCTATTTTTAATACTTACATATTTTCCAATGCTGTCAAATATAAGGAAGGCTCTCCAGAAACATCACTGCCTGATTTGACAGAGGTCTGGCTGTTATTTTGACAATTTTCCTTGCCGAGTGATTTCCTCTCAATATGCTTGAGTATGCCATTTTGGGCCCTTGTTGCAACAGGTTTGGGTGGGTCCTTGACAAAATGCTTCTGAACAGACTCTATAGCATTTGTGGCCACTCTCTGCAGCTGCTTAGCCTTGGAACTTTTGCCATTCAGGACAGCTGTTTGTGGTTTGATGTTCTAAAAACAATAAACATGTTTATATTTTTTTCCTCATAAATTTGAAAGCTAGTTTTCTTGTGAATACAAGGCTAGTTTTCTTGTGAATACAAGAAGTTTTTCTTGTTTTCTCATAATAAACACTATATCATGGAAAACTATTTTTTAAGTAACTAAATAATAGAAGAAAAAAACACATCAACTTATGAATTAAATTATGAAACTTGTAGTTAGCCGTTTCCAAATACAGTTGAAAACTTTTGCCTAAATGATTATTTGCCATTATAACTTTATCACTAATGATAATCTATAAAGTAAATAAAGTTAAAGTTGATGAATAAATCTTTAAATTTATAAAAATATGGTGTTATTAGTAAATAATCTTAATAAAATACTTCTTTAACACAGTAAAAATAAATGTATATTGCTAAAATACAAAAAATCTGCATGCACTTAGGTTTGGAGGGAAAGTTCATTGACCTGATGATGACATGTAATAATAAACAATTTAAATTGTAAATAAGTGCATTATAAAATCTAGTGCTAAAATCTTTAGATCAAGTATAAATTAATAAAAACAAGTACCCTCCAAAATATATCATGCTAAAAATGTGGTATTAGTAACCTTTACTGTTGGGAGCACTTTGCTTTCCACCGTCACTTTTTTCACTGCCGTGACTTTATCCTTATCGTTGGTGGCGCAGGATTTATTGAAGGCATTTGTAATGTCCCCGAAGGCCGCCCTTTTCGCCGTCATGTCTTTTAGGGGACTGTCTGCTTTTCTCTTGTTTGTCACTTTAAGGCTTTCTTTATACGTTTTAAGAGTAGCCATTTGCTTACTCCTCGTCGTTATTCCGTTAGTCATGATACCGTTGAAGTTTTCATTGACGCCGATAGGCTTCGATGCCAACCTTGTCGGCGCCATGACTATCTAAGAATGAAAAAACACTTCCAAAATCATGCACTCGAGCACTTGACATTATAAACGATAAATAGTATGTAAATGTTTAGGACGCTATTATGATTATGAAATATAAATATCAATAATTACTTCAAAATGATAAATCTAACGACCAAAAATGGAGGCAAAACAAGTGAATACTAACAACTATGTCAAGCGTCATTAGAAATTAGATAAAAATAATACTTACGGTTTCTAGACGGCAGCGGCCGTTTTGTATTAAATATTAGCTAATTTAGAATTTAAACGAGCCCACGATTATTTGGCAATATAATACAGTCCAAATATATTTTCAATACGTTATTTCAACTCGCAACCGAAATGAACATTCTATAAAAACCGTTGCTTTAAAATTCTATTGGGGCAATGACTGGCCAATGATAGTGAAGCAGCTAAATGCGTTCCGTTGCAAGAATTATATTGCAAGTGTAATAGTATTCAACTCATTATTTAACTTTAATATTATAATAGGAATGTTTAATTTTATATTAATTTAACTTACTACTACTTACTACTAACTGGAATGTTTATTTTATATTAATTTAACTTATCCGTGTGATATACAATTATGTTATTAATTAATGTTTATGTAAACAATGTAGGTATTTAAAAAAATATTTATAACAATATCTACAAACTTGCATTTTTTTTAATAAATTTGTTAAGTATTTATTATAAATTTTTTAGTAGGTAACTTACTCTAAGTGTTAAATCGTTAATCATTGTCATCATTGCAATCACAAAGCACGGTCCTAAACCATCTGCATTTATCAACTTTCTGCATCTCTTACGAGGTCGTCACTCCATCTAGTGGGGGTTACCCTACACTTCGCTTACCGGTACGAGGCTGCCACTTGAGAACCTTTCTTTCCCGGCCATTGGTCGGCGATTCTACGAGCTATATAGCTGGCCTATTGCCACTTCGGCTTAATGATCCATTGCCTTATATTGGTTACTTACTCTGGTTCTACTGCGGATATTCTCATTTCTAAGCCGCAGAGAAACTCCAAGCTTATCCGTCTCCATAAATCGTTGAGCGACTTTGAGGTTTCTCATACGGCCAGCAGTGAAGGACCAATTCTCAAATCTATAATGTCATCACTAGCGACGCACTGGTTGTATACTCTTGTTTTCATATTTTGATTTAGACGTGACGAGAAGATGTGTCGTAAACTCCCGAACGCTATCTAGACGGTTGGATTTGTCGTTTGACCTGCCGGCCGAAATTGGGTTTACCTAGTCGGAAAATTTTGACCCAGGTAAACATACTCGTTTACAACTTCAAGCGTAGTGCTTTCAATTCATAATAAATCCAAATTGTCAATTATATCTGCCAGTGGCAGAATTTTTGTCGAGAACTTTACCTTCGCGGATTGTCGCTTCTTTAAACTATAACGGTTTGAATATAAGTTTGGATGGATTTAATAAGTAAAAATGATGCGACTTTGTGTGTGTGTGTTTGATATTAATAACATGTTAATAATTAACGGAAACAATGTTACAAGTGCTTCGATGGTGATATAAATATTATATTTTCTTATCCACTTTCCGATGGGTTAAGTTTTCGTCAAAATCTTTCAAAAACATTGCAATGTGAAACATCAGCATATTGTATAGTATTTTATGAATAAAATACTTATCAGACAAGGCAGTATGATTGAAGGACGTTTGCCTGCTACCATTGGCAAACATATAATGCCGCCTCCACACGTTTGGTGTTTGCCACATACACCATACACAAACAAACACCGACCACATTCACCCAACACAAACACGGCATCCACACGCTAGGTGAACGTGCTAGTATATTCTGGATAGGCGAACATGACGGATGTCGAGCTTGGGGCAGCGATTACTTTCGGATTGACCTAATTTTATTTAAAAATAAGGCAATATGAATTGCTCTCAAGGTTATTGTATTGAAGATTTTACACACCATAGAATCTCAAATGAATTCTCAATTATCACTGCTATAAATTGTCTTCAGGTTCAAATAAGTTTGGTTTGAACGCTTTTATTCGTATTGCATAACTGATTATTATGTAACACGTGACTCTAAATTAATCTAAAAACAAACTTTTATGAAACTAATGCTTGACTGGGGAATCGAACCCCGAACTTTCGTTCGACATTATATTGAATCTATTTACTTTTAACATAGATTATCTCTTTATTCGTAGCGCCTTATACAATTTAATAGCAATATTTTCAAAACGCACAATTGCTTATTTTTTTATGGAATGAAAATGATAAACTATTTTTTAAGTGCTTCGCCAAAACTAATAGTAGAAATGCATATGAACCGTTTTCTTCATAAAATGTTTAATTTTAACAGCTTACAATAACATTACAAAGTTATTAATGCAGCTAGTCTTAGGTCTTTTCTATGAAAATGTAACGAAATTTTTACTAATCCAAGTGTATTTTATAAGTTGGTCAACTATTACTCGTTAACTTCTTGATTCTACGTAGCTGTGATAGTTTTCCTTTTAACTGCATTATATAAACTACTATTGGGTATACTTTTCACATGTCGATCCGTTAAGTTACTAGAGGGAGGGGGGGGGGGGGGGCACATGACTCTAATGAAAAATAGCACTTTAAAGCTAAAAATGTTTTTTTAAGATTTTATTTCAGTTTTCTAGGCGTCGTTAATATTTATAACTGTGCCAAATTACAGCAAAATCGCGGACGGACGGACGGACATGGCGAAACTATAGGGGTTCTAATCAGGATATACTAATCTTATATAATTTTTTCGAATTTTATTTTGGGAATTGATGATCAATGATCTTGCTTTTACACGGGGCTCCTTATAAAAGGGGTAAAATATTTGTTACCCAATAAAAACATTTATTAGGAGTCAATCACATTATTATTGGGAGGTCTCTAGAAAACTTAAAAAAAATAGGTGGTAGATTTACTAACTTTTCGAAGTAGAATTGGTAGTAAACTCAACTTCTGAAATCATATTTACCTCCGAGACTAATTTCGGATTGGTAACATTGGCGTATAGTATAATAATAATAGCCACTAGTAACTCCTTCCGCCGCCCGCAAGCCGCAAGCTCGCGCGTACTACTGACTGATTGCCACACGTGTGGATACATAGCAAACACGTTTGTCGAACACCCTTTGATCGGTGCACAAACGCCAATCACTGGCATTCACATACAAACAGGCAAACAACCATCCACACGTTCGTGATTGCTGTTCGGTGTATGCTGTTCGCCGTTGTTTGGCAAGCGCGTGGATGAGGCATAACCATTTAGAGTGTGGAGCAAAAAGTAAAGCCGGCGCCAGATATAGCTTCAAACATTTGAACACTTGTATGATGCTACGTGTGGCATGGGACTTTGTATCAATGTACAAATAAGTGTTCAAAGAAATACACTTTGCCAAGCGGTTTCGGTTTTTTAGCGCACTTCAAAGCGTTCAAAGTCGACAGTGTTAAAATGTTTGCGTGGCCTGCCAAACTTGCGCAAATTTCAGTCGTGTGAGCGTCGTTGAGCGGGACGGTTGTGCACAGTACGTTTTAAAAATAGGTCCAATCATTAAGACAATAAAAATCAATCGAATGAATGTGATTTGTATGGTCAGCTGTTATCTGAAAAGATAAAGCCCTTGGATGAAGATGACAGGTTAGTACTTATTAATGAAATACTTGTATGTACATATTATATTGTTTTGTATTTTATTCTATTATTTTTTGCAGATGTAATAAATAATGACATGCACTTAAATAATACGGGCACGCTGCATAGACAAAATCGTCGTCCTTCTTGTTATGGTTTTACAACATAATGTGGAGAGATGTGTGCAAAGACCTTCAAGTAAGTGTACAAATGTTGTTGCTATATCTGGCGCCGGCTTAAGGCGGCTACTGATATGCCTACCGCAGGGGCAATCTAGGGTGTACAACGATTGAGGCAATATCGGAGCTGTCTCTACACACACGCCTGCCGTTCAGTATGAGAGTGTACGTCTTGCTGGACGCACGCGTTGAGAATGGCGCCATTTATATCAAAAAATCAATGAATCGGTATATATAGCCTTGGCTCTTTTTTATATAGAATAAGGGTGACAAATGAGCACAGTCTCCCTGATGGTAAGTGGACGCTGTGGCCCATAAACACCCACATTTATTAATCAAACAACTAATTAATAATTAGAACCATAATATAGTGCTTATAAGCTGCAGCATAGCTCTGCCACGCTATTTTTATGCTATCAAAGACAATTAAATGTGACTAACTTCACTCGTTATAATCGAATATAACCAATTTATTCTGTGATATAATTTAACTAACTAGTGCTTACTAACTATAATTTAACTAGTGTTATAAATGACCAGGATAGTTTTCTAGTGATGAGTTTTAATACATTTAATCACTAAAATTTGTATTATTATTTAATTATTTATTTAATGACATTTTATTTATATTTCAGTAATTCTAATACTATTGGAATATTTTATTTCCCATACTGGCCCTTATGATAAATTAGGTCGATATCTACTCGGTAACAAATTTAAGTAATGTTACTTGTAAGTTACAAAGTTTAAATAATGTTCTTTCTGCGGTACTACTGCAAAAAAAGACAAAAAGGAGATACTGGGTGAAGAAGCCGCTCTTTATACACTTCTATTACCCGTGTCCAAACTTCACGCTCTTTATTGTTGTTCATAGTAACCTGTACTCACATGTGTGCTCAAAAGTGTGTTGCGAAAGACAAACGAACTGATTGAAATTGCCCCAATTGCGCTACACACGCGACAGCGGCAGGGTCGATCTAGGGAGCAAGGTAGGTCTTGTGCCCCTGCCGTCCTGCCGCAGGGCCAACTTAGAAAATTGCCCCTGCTTGCCTACACACATCACAATTAAGGAGGCAATTAAGGGTCATCCCCACTCCTACACTCTAGATTGCCCCTGCGGCAGGCAAGTCAGTAGCCGCCGTTAATAATCT